AGCTTAGTGTCACTAACAAACAAGGTGCACCAGCTTAGCAGATGAGACGCATTTTAAATAGAATTAGATAATATGAATTTTGAAAGAGTTTAAAATTAAATTACAACTTATACGATTAATTATTTTTAGAAAATCATTTTGAATTATTCTATGATCTTCATTCTTTAGGGGTAGATTCTGCACTGACTATACTCTTCAGAGATATTATTCAAATATCTTATTATCTCGATCAATAAATAAATTTCCATTGATAAATATTATGTCATTTATTGTCAATTATTCATCCTGTAATAGTTAATTTTGGCTGTATACTGTGGATGCCGAACAGTTCTCCCGTATAAATTCGTCTTATGTGGATTGGTAAAAAAATTGGCTGTGACTAAATTTCCGTATAAAAATTACGTGGGGGGCAATAATTGTCCACATACCCTGTTTATTTTAGCGAAAACCAACTATCTTGAATCTCGATAACGTATATTATATTAAGCGAGACACGACAGCAGAAAAAACTATGTAAAACCTATGAAAATATGATAAAATTCGGACAACGCTATGATTTATTGTTTTTGATTCGGTCGTAAAAATATAGAAAAACACGTACACTTAACGACCAGCAATCTGTAGCTATATTATTATTTGATAGTAATTTTTTGTATTGTACGGTCCACATAATATTGGAAACCGTATACGGGTTTTTAGCGAGACATCGATCGAAATTAATAAATAATAACAATTATTACTGTCCCGCACTCCCGCAGCCTGCACACTTCATAAACAGATGTACGTTAAATGATTTTTTTTTTATTGATCGTCAAAAATGTGTTACAATACCACACAATAGCGTTGTCTGATCATGACATTGTATTATATTATCAATATATATTATATTAAATACACACGTCATAATCATATTAGATTTTTTTTTTATTATTAAGTGTATTTAGAATTTAGATAGGGGTTTTGTTTGACATGTGAGATGGCTTGTTTCGAATTTGTATTTATCGCAAGATTACCGTGTTGGCGACAAAAAAAGCGATTGTCGAAACGTTATGACTTGTGGCTAGCCTCGCATGCTATTTGGAAATATCTTAGTGATGATTATAGTATTATACTTTAGAATCTGTCGTCTCAGCGTTAAAATAATTATGATATATATATTATCCATAATAGGTAAGTACTCCTTATTATATGTAAATGAACGATAATATTATTACTCTTGACGAATTTTGATTCGTCTAAAGTAATAGATTTAAATATATATATTATAGTATAATATGAACGATAATTGTACGATTTTTAGTTTTTACAACGTGTACAGTTGGTTATATGACAGAATAGATTAATATATGGTTATATTGTTGACGGCTTAATTGCAGATTATTTTGATTGTTATTCTAGAAAAAAAAATATTTTAACATTTTACACATCCGACCGAAAAGATATGGACTGGCCACGGGCGTCGGCGTGAGATATTTTTAATAAAACAGTCAATGAAGTCCACCTTAAAATTAAAAAATTTAAAATAAAACAAACTCATAAAAATACCATTTTTTATTTCGTGCTGAATTTAATTAAACATGTATACCTATTACCTACCAATAATTATTACTAAGTAATATTATTTAATAATGTAATAAATAAGTAATAATAATGAATACCTACCTAATAATTACCGAATACTGTTATGATAATATAGATTATTAAACATAGAGTAATCGCTTTAGAGGTGTGTTGTAATTTATTTAAATAATCGTATTATTGTATATTTAAAGGAGTACTATCACATACCTATAACTTGCATACATATTTATTTTTTTTGTATACGAACAATTCGAAATCCCTATGCTACAGTCTACAGTGCGCGCGATGTCCACAGTCCACACCTTAGCCGGTGGGCGTAGGTACATTATTTCCATTAGAGATGATGGGATCTTGCAGAAATATTATTCAACCAACTGCTGTCGGTGCAAGACGCCAAAAATCGCTTCGGGGCTATAATCGATAATTAGACGAGCTACCTACGAAATGATAAATATTAGTTTATAAACCTACGCAGAACTGGAAGTTAATATCGACTATGTATTAAAAGCTTTGTAAACGGAACACGGATACGTATAGGAGTTTAAATAAAATATTACCGTTGCAACAATCCGTAAAACACAAACACATCAAGTATGTAAATATATATATACAGTCTATGCTCTACAGACGACGAACACGTGCAGTCTTTGATTCGAAGCGTCTGCCGATTATACCAATGACAATTTTATTCGTTCATTACATCTGTCGTCGACTATACGAACGACCTATAAAACATTTAAATACAACAAACGGAATACATCAAACGTCTGTAATAATGACATTAAAATGTGCGTGCTCCTCCATTACGCACACGCGTATCCGAAAATATTGTATAATAATAATATTATTATGTATGTATTTTAGTGCATGCGCGGCAATATACAATAGGTACAAATTACTATCTATATAATAATATATAGTGTATATTTTACGTACACGTTGTTTGTTTCTGACTTGTGCAGGGAATATAATAATATAAATATATAATATATAAGAAAAAAATATGCAAAATTCCTGCATATTGTATTGCCAGGAAGAATGGCAACCAGCGGTACATAATAAAAAGAACCCCTTTTAAGTGTTTTCAGTGGTATCATGTGTAATAATAAAATAATAAACCAACGTGCCTGCGATGTCCGCGTACGATACACAATGTTTTGTGCGCAAGTAAAAAAAATAAAAAACAATATTTTATTATTCGTAGTACGCAGAAACGCGTATAGTTAATATCCCTACCTACCTATAAAAGGTTGACAGATCGTCTAAAATTATTCAACAGGTTTTGAATAATATTGCTTAAATTAAACTCAGCTGTACGTAACGTAGTACTTATTACATTGGCGGACATGACAGAATTTGATTTGCTCGATAAAAACGAACCATACAGTCACGGTTATTTTCCGAGAATACAATTCCAAACGAGTGAATTTCCTATATTTTGCGTGGATACCTCTGCATGAGTACCAACGAAGAAAAATCTGTCCACGCTACAACAGGTCATGAAAATGTACTTGAGTGGTAAATTTCAAATATACTAGAAATATATATAATAATGATATGCGTAGGTACGTTACGCGTATCAAATTGTACAGACCGAAATTCTTCGTTATCCTTAAACACCTGCTGTACAATATATTCTTCAGGACGACGACATCCTGCGGCGCGAGCCGTTTCTAGTGACCGCGTGTGCGGACATAAAGCGCGATATCGAATTACCGGAATAACAACGATAAAGGACACGATATGAGTACAACGTGTGCAAATCGCCAATGTATAAGGATTCGGCCGATCGGAAGCGTAATCGAGCGGAAACCGTAGTACGTGCAACGTTTTATACGCTGGAGCTTATAATATACCTATATGATATTAATATATGATTATACTCGGATAAGTCGAAGGAAACACTTTTTTCAATAACATTTTCAATCGAAACCAGCTTAGTGTTTTTATCAATTAATTTTTAGATAGTAAAATTTTGAATATACATGAGATAATATTATATATTGTTATATATTATTTTCGACGACCGTTTTAGTCGTTTTCGACTGGGTCAACGAAATACGCGGAATGCTACATAGCTCATATTATACGATATACATAATAGTACCTATACGTATAAACGTCGCGGTGGGTGTGACATTCTTATTCAATAATACACGCGTATAAAGTAATAATATTACAGACGACAGACCGAAGGTAGTTACGACGATCGTAAAATCGAGGGAGGACGGGAGAAACGATCGAAAAAAAAACCAACGTCCGACCCTTTTCTATACCTGCAGCGATCGTGCAGCATGCTGACTGGTCCTGTGGCGGCGGCGGTGGTCTTTTGTGTCGATCCAAGAGGGGTTGTTACCGCCACCGTCGACGCCATTTATGGACGTGTTCTCCGACGTTTCGAAATAACGAACAGGATAATATAATGCATACGTGTTCCTGGAATGCACCGCACAATTGTCTTTTTGCACGCCGAAAGGTCGTACCTACACGTGATCCAGTATAGAACCTACACGTGGGTGTCTGGTATACGTCCAAAGATAATTTCGTATTATCGCGTGTAGGAAATATTTATACGGTATAGTGTATAGGTCACTCTACAGTCGTCGAATCGTCTTTCGATTCAACATCGTCTCAATCGAACCAAACTAGGTATTTCTGAGAAAATATTTTGATGTTGTCAATATTACACATCAAATGCTAAATAATTCAAACGTGATGTTTGATTGGGAAAAACGTTTCTTCTATAAGCGTTCTCGGTCAAGAACACCGAACGTGGCCGACCGTGTCGCTAAGCAGCACGAAAAATTTACATAAAATTTGCATTTTACAGTAAATAATATGAAACGCGACCATCCACCGGTGCAGGAATAAATAATAATATACCTAACTAAACAATGAACCTGACAAAAATGCAAACCTAAAATAAAAATTACCTCTATAATATAAGACTCATAAAACCGTGTTATTGTATTACAGTATAAAATCACATACCAACCACACGATGGAAAAAAAAACTGTTCGTCAGGAGTTTTTAAAAACATTTTTTAGTTTTTTTTATAAACTAAAAGATTTAAAAGATAAAAATTATACTAAGGTCTTACTGGTTGATGCTGAATTGCACATTATACTCGGGACGACGTAATACCGAAAAAAATTCAGTTAAATAAGAGATGTTTTATTCCCGCGAATTTTTTTAACCTTCGATTTGCTGTCAATCCTTGCCAACTAAGGGTGATAATACTTTGAGCTTTTCGTTTTTACCACGGAGACAAAGATGACCCCCAAACTTCGAAGTAGGACACAGATATTAGTATAATACGGTCTATAAATCATTGAACTCGAGACACGACAGTATTAAAGTCACTAGTGTAGCAATAATATATTATATTACGATTTCCGACTGATGTTCAATAACTCACCTCGGCTGAAGCTCGGAGACAGGCAGCCCTCCGGCAGACGGGGAAGTGGCGCGGCGGTGACGGCCACATGAAGAGGAGCACGACCAGCGTGATGAACAGGACGACGCACAGGAGCACTGCGGCCACGGCCACGACCAGTCCCGTTCTGGAGAAGCCGGTCTTGTCCCGGAGCTTCTGCTCCAGGCTGGTGGCGGCCGCGAACGCGTGGAACTTTCCGTTGCTGGTGCCGTTGTTGTTGTCCGTGGACGGCGGTGGTGCGGCTGCGGTGCCGTTGTTCTTGTCGGTCACCGGCGACAGGTCGGTGGACGCCTTCAGGCAGGGTTCGCGTTCTTCGTCGGTCGCCGACAGACAACCGCCGCCGTCAGGTTTATCTTGCATCTCTAAGTTCTGACCACTGCTTTTGCGTTCTTGCGCCATTGTCGTCGTCGTTGTTGTCACTCTGCAGCGGTGCACATCTGAAGGACCAACGGCTGGCTGGCAAGTACGCGCACCACCAGCGACTTCGGAGGAGTCGATGTGTGTGGTGTAGACGGCGGAAAATACGCGAACAAGTCACGGTGTTGCGGTCGGAAATCACGGACGAAAAACGGATGCGCGCACTCGACCCTCGGCCCCAAGAATAATATTATAATACAGCTTGAGGCACAAATCTGTATTATAATAAAAGATAAAATTAAGTTAGGTACTCAATCGCTGGATGGGAGTACGACGAAACGACAATAATATTATTATTATGATGGTAATATGGTATAATAGTACCGGTCGTCGGCCGTGGTGTATGCAGGAACGCGACTGGCACCGGTGGCGGCGATGCACTACCAGTTTGGCGGGAAAATCAGTGTTGCCAACGCCAGCCCGTCGACCGACCTATACGACACGGCTTCGCCGTAATAACAATATTATACAGTGCCCCGCTTACAATTTGTGGCCTGTGGGACGTGGGTAAATAATAATATAACATTCGCTTATTGTCGCTACGATCGAATACTGAGTAGAACGCAGGAGCAACGAATTGCTATGGTAGACTTGAGGCTTTATTCTAACCGGCAGAACCCAAATCGGTTAGCTGAATTAACTTGACGAACATAATATTATGAATATGATAAGTTGGAATAAAACAATCGTAGAGATGATAATATAATATCCTGATGTATAGGGTAATCTAATTGTTGGTACACATCATAAGAATGAGAAAATATCGTTTAGTAACGAGAAATGTTGGGTTCGAGGGTAGTTTAAACTTTCAAAGATTTTTATTACAAAATGTTCATAATATTATAGTTTCACGATGGGCGATAATATAAGCGAAAGTATCAAACTAATAAATACTTGTAAATATTAAACATAACCTCCACCCCTACTTCGACCATCTCTGAATTCATCGAAGTACTTCATAATTCCTAATAGTAAAATATACTTCAAAGTTTAGATTAGGACCTAGTTTCGAGTGAATGACAATAAATATGATAGTATTAATCGTGTATTAGCTTTAATAAAATATAAATAGTATCTAAAGTGCTTACAATAGCCATTGGAGGGTGTCAGTGTGTCACCGAGCCACCGAGGCAATCACATCCTGCAGCCTGTAGGCCAGTTGTTTACTATAGATACAGTTCCGTTTTTGTTGTATTATTAAACTTGATTTTTTTTCAGTATTTAAGATCGTGAGCGGAGCGACCAATGTATTAATTTTACAGTGATGTGTGTTTTTTTTTTTGGCACGAAGACACGATTTCCAGTAAATGCTTACATTTTCAACTTTGAGTGTGTTTTCTGGTAGAAAATTGGATTTAGTTGGTACTTTGAGAGTCACAAGTAAAAAATGCACAGTATTTTTAATATAATCGGGAAAAATAAATAAAAAATTAAGGAAAAACTAAAATGTTTACGCAAACCCGATTTTGTTTTTTTTTGTGTTATTAAAAATGAATAATTTTAGGAACCAAAAATTTTCACAAAATGATTACATTATTATTTTTTATGCATTATAAAATTTAAAAAATATTTGACCCTTTATGAGAGGTTTATACAAACATGAAACATTAGACATTTTTAATTTGATTTTTTTATGGATGTCAACAAAAAATTTTTTGCTTAATCAAAAACCTTGAAAAATTAATACAAGGTAGTAAGTTATAAGTAGTTCATACTGAAATAAAAAATAATCTTAAGGATATATTAAGAAATGTTAGTTATTTTGTTTTATCTAATTTAAAAATATTATTTGTACGGAAACTAGAAACTTTTAAAGTATCTAGTTAAAGTAATATAGGCTGACAGACCATGATCGCTCAGAATTTTTTTTTTGTAGACCACGATTTTTCAAAATTATACATATACAGTACACTAGTGCAGTTACTTACTCAATGGTGATATACCTACAGTCTACACTCGACACCTACTGTACAGCTTGAGTTGTTACCTACTTCCCCCCCTTATTTTTTTACTTATGACTAGTCGTAATTAAATGTTAAATGGTAGTTTATAAATAGTAAATAATTACATTTTAAACATATACATATAATAATAAGTAAGTATAAACTATAAACAATTATAAATTTAAATAATAAAAACACTTCTATATGAATCTATCTATATTGTTAAAAATTATTATTATAAAACGATATTTGTTATTTTATGTACTTATACAAATATATCTAATTCCCAGGGATGCTACTGTACTTATGGTTGTATAATATATATATATACAAATCCACCATAATATATTTTTACAATGTTGGATGTGTTGAATTACTAGGTGCTTAGGAATATCATAATATATCGTGTTACGTGACTTTGTCCACGAATACGAACCGGCGCCAGTATATAAAGTAAAACATTCTCTGTAGCTTGTAGGATAAAAATTATTTTGACGAAAAATAAATGTAACCATTTATTACGCTCGACACGTTTAATCCTATCCGAATATCCAATTGAAATGCTTGAGCTGCGTTCTATGACGAACTAAAATAATATATTATAATAGCCAATTTATCGGTATACCTATACTATAATCATATTCGTATAGAACCCGATGGTCATATGTTTTATTGTTCTCGTCGATCGTCTTCGTAGGTCATAATGCATACTGACTTGTATAGTTGTATGTAAAAAAATTATTTTAAAATAAATACATTAATATAGGTAAGTATCTAACTAAACTTATCTATTATCGGGAATGATTTCAAAAGTGGATTTTTTTACTATATATTTCCAGATTAAATTGATAAATCTGTTTTGAACTTTAATATTCACGTTAGTCAAAACATTCCCAATAACCGAATTGCGTAATTTACTACGGACTCCAAAGCAGTGCTCGTTTATGTAAATCTCTTCCCACACAAGTATAAGGAATGAGCCATCCGACTGAATATATAGGATGAGGCTTATATTTTCCTTAAGTACCTACCTATACTTTTATTATAGCTATATATCCCACTATATCGGTGCTATTCTACTTACAAACCGTTTGTCTGTAATGCCTTTCATAAAACTAACCACCTTTGTACTTTCCGTCTTTCATAACATCAATTTATTATTATGAATTCTAACGTTTACAAATAAGGTAATGATGGTTAAAAACATAATTAAAAGTAATAACAAATGTTATCGTAATAGGTTAGGGACTTATAGGCTTAACAATATAACATCGCCAAACATTTTGAATTAAATATACGCATGTATAACAAGCTCGTTAAGGGAACAGTATTATCGATTTGTTATACTTAAAAGTTAAAAGATTCGTCTTTTGAACGGCCATAACTCAACAAATTACCTGTTAAATTAAACAAAAATACATTTAGTGGCGGGCCTCTTAATATGATGCCTATTAATTATTATTTATCATTTATTATTATACCAGACATATTATATTATAATCAATCTTGAAAACGATTTTTTCCACATTATAAAGTTGTTTAAGCAAAAGCAATGAATGTATTATATATGTACCTCTAAAATATAATATAGCGTACTAGCATCTATAATATCTTGAATGTTAGTTTTTTTTTGTAAAATGTTCTCTACTAAAAATGTCTAGCAAGAGTATTTAGAATTTAAAATTATTTATACTATTCCAATTTAAAAGATAGAATTTAAAAAGATTTTAATTTCATTAAGTTTAATTTTTATATTATTTGCAATTTATACAACTATATTATATGATCTAAAAATATAATTCATGTAGGTATAATGTTCATAAAAAAAAAAAAAAATGTCTTTTTTGGATTTTAATGTTGAATTACGTTAATATTTATTGAGTATACATTTTTACTAGGTAACACATTTTATGAATTCATTTATATAATAGCAAACAAATAGTAGGTTGGTTTTCAGAATAATATTGAAATATCTACAAATTTATTGAACTTTCTGAAATATTTCGTATTTGTATAATGCTAACGCAGTTCCTCTTCTGTCACTCCATTAACTCGAAAAAAAAGAATAAAAAAAAAGAAAAAAAAAGAAAAAAAAAAGGATTTTTAGTATTTGTTGTTATAGCATCCACGGAAATACATAATCTGTGCAAATTTCAACTTTCTAACTTTCATGGCTCATGAGATACAGCCTGGTGACAGGCAGACGGACGGACAGCGGAGCCTTATAGTAATAGGCTTCCGTTTTATCGTACTGAACCCTAAAAAACTATGTTTCAATTATGATATATATTATTTATTGTATCAACATAGTCATAAGTCCCCATAAGTCAAATTCCTTATACACCTCACTGGCTCACTGTATTATAGGTACTATTATAGTAAGTATAGGTACCCAGGGCCGGATTGGTATGTATCGGCCCATCGGGAAGTTCACTTCTAAGCGGTACATTTGCATATTCAGAGGCCTGAAATTACGTCTATAATATTATTACGAGCCAATTATAGGCATTATAGGTGGCCAATCGTATTTTAAACGTTAATTTATTTTCACTCAGTCACACGACCGGCCCTAACTTTAAGCGGCCCACTGAGATTTTCTCGGTAGCTCGCCTAACCAATCCGGCCCTGTAGGTACCTCTAGGTTATTGGTTCCCAATTGGCTGTTACTTGTCCGCGTGTTGATGTTAGGAGATCCGGGGTAGTGTAATACTGTAGTGATTTTTATTTTTATTTTATTTTAGTGAAATTATTAAATAAATTTGTATTCGTTTGAAATTCCGGGTATTTTTTGACTATTGAAACTCAATTTAGTGCGAAAAAGGTAGATACTTAATTTATTCAAATTGAAAAGTATAAGCATTTACAAAAGAGGGGTCCCCGGGGACCGAACCAATATAAGTTTTAGTTAGGGGTTCATGGCTTCATATTAATTGGGAATCACTGCTCTAAGGAATAAGTCATACCGATGATAACGAAAGATACAACCAAATACCGATCATCGCTAATCAGTAATTGCTAAATATTAATATAATTTATATT